GGTTTTATTTTAATAAAATTTTGTATAAGTACTTAATGAAGCATAATAAGTAAATGATAAAATTTCAAAATGATTGCACTGCTTTAAAGCCCTTTGACCTTTAATCATGTGTGGATGCACCCTGATGTGCTACGCATTCTCCAACGCGCCTAGGCATGCTTCTGATCAGGTGGTCAATGTCCTCCTGTGGTATCTCATTCCAGGCAACCACCAACTCCTCTCGAAGTGCTTCTAGAGTCTGAGGAGGACGTTGCAAATTGAGCAATCTCCTACCCATCATATCCCACACGTGCTCAATTGGGGATAAGTCGGGAGATCTTGGTGGCCATGGTAACAATGTGACATCATTATGTTGAAAGAAGTCTATTGTGACTCTTGCAACATGTGGTCGGGCATTATCTTGTTGGAAAGTTGGATCTGCCAGGGTGTCAAGATAGGGTAAAAGATGGGGTTCTAGAACTTCGTGGATATAACGCTACGCGTTCATGTTACCTCTGATGAAGATTAAAGGTGACCTGGAACCATAAGCTATAGCATCCCAAACCATAACTCCAACAGTGTGATGAACATGTCTTTCAACAAAAAACTGTGGATTCCTCCTTTCACCACGTCGCCTTCTAACCCTGGCACGACCATCGTGCATGCCTAAACAAAATCGAGACTCGTCACTAAAGACAATACTGATCCATTCCTGATCCCAGAGTGACCGTTGTCTGCACCACTCAAGGCGATTACGTCGGTGTTCTCGAGTTAAAGGGAGGACCCAGTGTGGCCGGTATGAAAACAAGCCAAAACTTCTCATTCGTCGGTAAACACTTCGCATGCCAATAGGTCTTCCGTGTTCTGCAAACCATTCATTTGCAATGGACCTGGTAGTGGAGAAACGGTCCCTTAAGGCCAATAATCTTAGGCGGCGATCTTCACGGTCTGTTGTTCTACGGCGGCGTCCAGTGCCCCTTGCTCTTTGCGTACGGCCTTCTCGAAGCCATGCCTGACAACACCTAACCACAGTGTCTACACTTCTTTGCACTCTAACTGCAATTGCCTGAAAAGAAAGTCCAGCTTCCGAAGTCCCACTATACGGCCCCTATCAAACTCACTAAGTTGACGAAATCGTACAGGTCTCCGTATTCTAGGCATCGTAACCGATCGTAAAGGATGTCAAGAACCAAAATCCGCCAACGTTGATTCTTTACTGCGGCTGAAATATTCATTTTTAGAGCGTTAGTGAATTAAAAAAAAGCAGTAGAAAAACCGGAATGTCCAACTGATAAGGCTTATTATTTACAGTAAGATAAATACATTCACCAACTTTTATTAAAATAAAACCATTTAAACTGGGTGTTCGGATTTATATGTCACTTAGTATACTTCTTAATAGTAGCAAAGTTATTTATATCCTTCGCAGAGATGGTTGTTGGAAAAGAGTATGACTTTGCAAGCTCGAGTAGCTTATTCATATAAAAATTACGCCATGAGTACCAGAAGATTTCATTAATAAAAAATACCGAGTACCATGAAGAACGGCACCACATGTGATAATGATAGTAGACGCAAAATTCTTAAATTTTACTTCACTTGGATATTTTCTATTGCGCATCTGTCATCTAGAAACCCGACAATTATGGATCTTTCTACGGCGAAGGAACATTTCTGATTTGTGTAAATCTACTATGAAAATTTACATTCATTTTTGCATGAAAGCTTACGATGATTGAACGGTAAATATTTACGGCAAAATTTATCATAAGTATCTATTGTAGTTGCTATTCTATAGTATGCACCTTTTCTTTCTACAAAATAGAGTTATGGATCATACTGTAAGGTAAGCCGGAGTTGTCACAGACGTCCTCCCACCACAGCGGCGTGATTTCTCGCAATAATCGTAGTCATTCCCGCCAGATACCAAACACTTGTAATCTAGCCCTGTTTGGCATTTTTGTCCTTAATGACAAAGTATATAATATAACAATCCATAACTCTTGATTACCCCGAGTAAAACATTTATCAAGTTACTCATAAACTTGGGCCGCGATTTTGCCAAGAAAAAATAGTAGACATTTTTGTTGAAGGATGGTCAACATTCTGATAAGCTCATAAATATTATCGGTTTCATTTTGAAAACAAAATCCCCAATCACCTGCTGGGACCTCCTTGTAGCCAAGGTGTTTTATGTTCGTTATAAATGTGGTCGTTGAAACAGAGTACGTCTCTGCAAGTTCCTTGAGGATTAATTTTGATATATGGTCACATAGACAGCAGCTGGAGTAATCTCCTCATATAGAGATCGCTCTATCCACAGTCAGCATTAATTTGTACGTGCCGTATACTCGAACCAGCCACGTCCAGTCCTAATCTCGCCCCTGGGAAATTTGTTGATTGTCGATCAGAAACTCGGCAAATTGAACATATGTGTGAGTTTACTGGTGTGTGATAGGATACACGGATGGATTTTAGGCAATGCTGCATTGAAAATGAATGAATGGCTCTGGCATTCCAAAACACGTTACTTTGATAGTGCCGCCAATATCATTTTGCACAGGGTCATTCAGAAAAAAGTATCAGTATTTCTAGTGAAAAAAGTAAAAGTCCTACAAACATAGGTCTTATAATGTCTCGTTACCAAGATACAGGGTGTTGTAGAATTTTACGTGACTGACGATACTGAATACGGACAGGATATGACATGAGCATTGCTGAAATACCGCAATGGTGAGTTAGATTACTCTCCTGATACTACATAGAATTTTCAGAGTGTCAAACTGTACTAACTTAAAAAGCTTATATTTAAAGTAGACCGGCTTTATGTGGATTTTACCTATTCAACCCAGTTCGGCTATAAAAAGAGTAATCTGACAAAAATCTCTCAGGAGGTAATTAATCAAAAATGCAATCCAAAGCAGTGGCAATTTCTACATCAGACTGGTATAGTCTCAGGCTCGAACATTTTTGTATGTATTGGCGGTGATCTTGGTAATACCAGTACAAAGATTTAAGACATTAAGTCAATATCTTAATCCAGTTTTTTTTCTCGCAGAGCATTTCCGGTATGAAAATTCTAACGTCCTTCTCCTCACGGCATTTCTTTTCTTTGCATGTCGCGGCTGTCTTATTATCCCTAATCTATTATACAGAGTACACCTACTACAAATGTCATGAAATTCAGCTTTTCTTCTTCCTAGAAGAGCCAAGTCTCGATTATAACTGATAACAGCATCAACTTCAAATAGACATGAGTCAACACACTAAAAAGCTAGTTGTGAAGTTGCTGTTTTTTTTTGTGTTACCAACATGATTAGTAACAAGCCATATTAACACGGCGTTTTTAAGCAGCCGCGGTGTCCCGGTATCCAGGCATCCACCTTCGCAGCTGCTTCGGTATAGAAGAAACTCAATTCACGTCAACTTGTATAAGCGGATATAAATCCAAAGTTCCTCAGGGTATCCACCTAGGTCCATTATTCTTCTTAATCTATATAAATGATATCGCACAGTGTTTCAGCCTTTGCCAGTTTATTCTTTGTATAGTTGAAAGCCTTCAAGACTGCATCAAAATACAATCTGATATAGACAGACTCAACGATTATTGTCAGAGAAATTACCTAAAATGCTTTTCAATCACATTCACAGAAAAAAGACACCTATTCCAGTATGAGGATCACATAGAGAATGTCAATATTAATTCTGTGAGCAATATTCGGACTGGGTGTTACACTAGTTACGAAATGGAGGATTAATAGCCATATAGATGAAACTATAAAACGAATAAGATCTTTGACTTTATTAGACGACACTCTAGATACTTCAACAACCCTGCTACCCTGTTATCACTATATTATGCGTCCACATAAGGAGAATTGAGTCTGTACAACATAAGTTCTTGCGAATTTAGGCTTACAAGGCGAGTATCACTAACAATAATCACGATTAACAACATTTCAAAATCTTACCTCTTGCTAAGAGAAGGTATTACCTGAGTTATGTTTTCTACACAGAATCTTGAACGATCAATCTGCTTTTACCTTCCATCGAAAATCCATATAAAAGAACTGATAAGAGCGAATCCTATACACTGTACAAACTTCAATATCCTATCTTGTAGAACAAATATCGGTTTAAACCCTCCACTGGTACGAATGCAAAGAAATCTAAGAAACTATAATAGATTTGCTGATTTTTGCTTGTGAAATGTTCAAATACTTGATTGATAAAATAACAAAATGTTGTTCACTCCCTAGTAAGCGAAGTTCCCATTCTCTATTCTATGATTCTCGATACTGAATTAATTAAACACTGTATCATTGTGTTCTCGTATGCAGGGTGTTCAAAAAATAGACGTAGATATTTTAGAGGGTGATTCTTCGTTGAAAAATATGGAATAAGTTTCCATAATTATGAGTCCGGAAATGCAAGTTTTCAAGATACAGGGTGATCAATTAATTAAAAGTAATATCTTAAGCAATATTTACTCGATTCTGTTGAAATTTGATAATATTATCTGTTGTATTAATAGGCTTATTTACCCCTGGATAAATTAAAATTATTAGGCCTAGTGGCGGCACCTTAGCGAATATTATTGGCAAAAAATGTACGCTACTGCCTTTTTTTGTAACTTTAATATTTGTTGTTTGATTAAACATCTAAAAATACAACTTCCTTGTCTCTTGTATTATTTTCGTGTATAACTCCGTTTTGCATGTCACTGGACAAATTGATTTATTAATTTTTGCTAAAAAAAATCTCAAGTGCCTTGGAAAACAGAAACTCTCTGATACTTGACGCCATTTTTCTAAAACCAAAGTAATGCTGAGGTGCAGAATGAACAAATTAAAATTCAGACAACCTGACAAGTTGCAATAAAGTAATAAAATTTTAAATAACTTTACTTTTAGTTGTTAAATATCAGTAAATGCCCCCCAAATCTTACCGCTCCATGATCAATTCTATCAATTTCAAAGTCACTTTCTAAGTTACTGAAGTGTTTAATGCTTTCTGTTTACCTGATTTTAAAGTATTCTCTTTCATGGGCCAGCGCATCCAAAATATAATTATTTTGAGTTAGTATAACTCGCTTCAAAGTTTCATTCCTCTTCACATCTTCAACAGTTCTGTCAAATAAGCTATACATAGTTTCATCCAGATACTGCAAGTTGATTCGAACCTCGCATAAAAGTGACTACAGACTGCATCCAGAAAGATGTGCTTTAGCATCACATGTTCACACTACAAGGCGTTCAATGGGATATAATGACATTCAGTTGCTTGACAGAGACATTTTTATGACAGACAATTGCATGAACAAAAAAGCAGATGTCAAGCAACCTAGCGTACTTATGCATACTTGTTGAACTGCGAAAAATTGGAAAGAGATCATATCTCTCCCAACATCGATCTGTCTCAGTAACTGTATCAATCGCTCAATTTCATTATTCAAAATAATCTTCCTTCTATTTATCTTTCCTCAAGTTCTGAATTTCTTTCGTATTACCTAACACGAATTGAAGGACAACATCGAAAACACATTCCTTCCATAATAACATGTATTAATTTTGAAAATAATTTTTGAACTTCATCTTGTACTACAACGCACGTTGCTCTTAATACCTCAGGTAATCCCTATGAGGTAGGCAATACATGTAACGAGATGGGAAAAAATGTTATTGCATCTTTTCCAATAGGTACCGTCTCATAAAGTACACTACAACAAATGTTGGAAATATCCACCATCCATTTCCATACAACTCACTCGACGATACATTACACGACGAACTCGCACTCTTCGAGGTCTATATCAGTTCATCTGGAAATATAGATCCTTACCTAATAACAACATATACAGGTATATGCCTTATGTATCTCAAAAAATCAAAATCTCTACGGTGTATCAAATAATAACTACGACTAACGAGCCGAGCTCGTTAAACAGCTTACCGGAGGATATTTTTCGCGTCAACTCATAACAACCTCCCTTGCTACTACTAGCAGAATTATTACAGTTTATTACTTGGAAGAGGATCCTTTTATTCTATAGAAGGATATATATGTACCATGGTTCATGAAATAACTACTTGTACAGCACTAATGAGGGGAGAACGATTCAAAGTGGATTTATTTAAAGCTATACCGAAATCACTTGAAACAAGATACATTCGCAACACGGAGAGTTATGAAAAAACACACGTTCACAAAAATGGTCGGAAACGGATGTGAAAAATGTACTGCCATTTTTTATAACAAAATAAGCGCTGAAACATACAAAGTATGTGTATAATTCCTTTTTGCATACCCTATTGATTTTGATGGGCACTATTAAACTTCTAATGTATCGATTTGAGCCACAAATTAAGCTGAAACCCAAGCATTAAAGACATTTTCAGCTATCATTTCAGAACGGATATTGACCTGCTCAATTTTTTATCCTCAAAGCTTTTCCACCTTTCGCCTTCTAATGGAACATCCAACATGATTAGCATCTTTCAATTGATATAGAGCCGCTCATGGATAGTGGAAATCGAGAGGAAATTGGATTTTTTAATACCACCGTGTTTTTGACGCAAGAGTGCTCTGTATAAAAAATAAGATCCATATTTGTTTATTCACTGAAACATCTTTACGTGAGTAGCATTTCTTCCTGAAAGTCAATAATTAAAAAGAGGGTGCCATTACTTTTGGAGGAAATGTATTTTTTAACATTGATAGTCGTTCCCTTTCCCATTGCCTTGATAAATAATTATTTATTTAACATATTTGTTGGGGAAAAGACTTGCGATCTCAGGTGTAGATGTTTCTTTCTTGGCATGATATGACCACTTTCAGAACAAGACCTGACTTTGCAGACGACTGCGAAACACAGACCCACACTCTCTCCACGGAGGTACAGCAATGACTTGTTGTAAATCACACTTATAATTCTGTACTAGAGCAACTCTGATAGTGACTATGAGATCCCTTTTTGTTGTATCTTCAACCCAGAAGGACCTAGGTGCGAAATATCCTGACTAAGCATACCAAGCCATGGGAGCAAACTTCATTAGCAACAACTGTGCGTTCATACTCTTGTAGCAACAATAGGCGTAGCAGGTCAGTACTTGATTAGAGATGTTACTGATTATCTAGCATCTAAAGGTAAGGAGGTGGTTCCAAACTGTGAGCCATGATTATTAACGTTATCTGAAAAATAATATGTCTATAAAGATCAGATTATGCGGGTTCTTAAAACTTAGATTAATCAGAAAAAGTAACTTTGTGGGGAAACATCTAATGGTATGAAAAAGGGTATCGGATTAAGTATAGTGGTGTTTGTCTTACACCAACCAAAATGGTATACTGGAAGGCTTAGCTAAAAAAATATAAAAATCGGACATTTGCATCCAAAATCCTCGGCCATTATTACCAAATGATGCAGAAAAAAGCGTAGAGCGTCGGTTTGCTTAACAGCGCACCCCTCTTTCAGCTCCAATTCCAACACCTTATCAGACAGTGCCAGCAACTGGCGAATGTTGGCCGCACCTCAAATTATCACTATAAATGACCCCGTTTTCCGGAAACCCTCTTGATTAATGATTCGGACAAAAAATAATTCCGAATAACGAGCAGAGGGATCCCGATAAATTTTAATTATCGCCATTCTAATTCTTAGCCGCTTCTGAGAAGAGACAGGACTGTTTGAATGCCTCAGAGTGATTTTACTACCAGAAGCTGCATGATTGTGACGAAATATTCATCTATTATTATTTTTAGATAGCTGGAGGAAAGTACATTACTTGTAATTACACAACACCTTTTTACTTGCAGAGACATCTGTGCAAGCAAAAGGTTAAAACCACTTTTGACTGCAAAAATTAGCCTAACTGTTTCTAAGGACATCGGTCACAACCATTTTAGACTCATTCTTACAGTGAAAGATGGTTTTGACTGGTTATGAGTTTTGAATATGAAACACAAAATCCCTGGGATACATATCTCTACACTGTTGGCATTGTTGAGAATGACTTTTTTTGCAGATTCGTCTACAATGATTAATTCTTAATCAAATGTCCGCCATACTAGCAGGGTCATCGATGAATGACGATACGAAAGTTTGATAACATCTGAAAAAGTATACACCTATAAAACTCACAGCGCATGACTTTCGAGTACACGATATACGAATATGCTGCAAATGTATCGTTTTCGATGAAAAGGAAGATTATTTTTAAGATCAACATTAATTACAACAAACAAAAATCTCTCTTCGGATGGACTAACCCAAGCGTGCGTGTTGATGTTCGACACGAGCACTTCCAACCCGACGCGTTGGACTGACAGAGTATCGTACTAATATCGGTAATTTGTTAGTAATCGAGTTAGTTAACTCGGTAAATTAGGGCGGTAACGTATGTGCGAGACTTTGCACTTCGGCAGTGGTGTAGTAGAAATGCAGATAATCTTCACAGCATAGAGCCTCCAAACTCAGGAATACGTGAATTAGACTCACAACAGAGAATTCTCTACCTTTACCGAATATGGTTTAAGCAGCAATAGGGATTGTTGTCCCTAACTGTGGTCTTAAGGTAACTGCTGCTTCTGTTGAAATTTTGGCTATTGAATCTGATTTGGAGGTTGTCTAGTACAATGTCTGGGATGTACAGTGCATGTTTGGTCCCAGCTCGAATCTTCGTACAACTTTCATTACAGTAGCAGTCATTCTGAGTGGCAACAAAGATTATAAGACCCTATTGTTCTTTTAATCAGGTCCTTCATGATCGATGGGTCAATGTAGATGATAGATCTTCTAGTTTGATAGATTTCCAATTTGGCAGGGAGATGGCACTTAGCTTTGTCACGTGCCAAAATCACGTAACCCACTAATATGTATTATTAACGGCTCTCAGGAATTTCCTCGTAAAATATCGCTGGTCCCTCGTAGCGAGTTGGTTCTGCCCGTTGGCCCGCCACCTTGTAGTTTCTACACGTACTAACCTATATAATATTTGCTTTCCCATCAAGGTACCTTCTTTTGGAATATGATTTACTGTCAAGGTACCTTCTTTTCCTATCAAGATACCTTGTTTTGAAAACTTGCGGCTGCATAATTTCCAGATTCTGGAATTTTGTAGCCTTTATTTTGTACCTTACGTTTGGTTGTTTTGGTTAGGGTGCTTACCTTCAACGGTAAGTTCTTTTTTGTATACCATCGGACCACGTCCATTAATGCATGTCCTGCAGAAGTTTGTTGAATATTTTTTTCCTTCTAGCGGAAAGGCATTGCGGAAAACCACCATTCACACCACTCCTGCTTTATTTTGTAGCTGCCCCGTACCTGTTTACAGTCGATTTTGTTGGAAGTCACCCCTTCCCCTTGACAAAAAAAAACCCTGATGTGAAAGGTAAAATATCTTTTTAATAGGGTATTTAATGGATATTGGTATTAATTATTGGTGAATGAAATTCTTAGTGTGTACTTGATTTTGTTTGACATTTTACGTATTCAAATATAGGGCAGTGCATACAAAACATTGATCATGATTTTTGGGCTGCCATAACTTTTTATTAGAACAAGCGATACATTTCTGATGGTATATCACTTTAGTACTGTAACGGCTTCACCGTCCGATTGTATTTATTAAATCACAGTACATTTTTATCTTTTTTCACTTGCTTCACTTTTCTTGTGAAAGATAATGTACATGGTTTTCCTTCAAGTTTCAGTATTTTAAATTACTAGTTTTGTCTCAGACAGAGAGTAGAGAGTATATTCTTCTTTCACTCTCTAGGGCTTCTTTATACCATAAATTTTGGAAAACGAGTCAAGCAGCCCCTACCTTGTGACGTGTTCACTACTGGCCACTGGTTTTTGACCTGAGCGTTTGTGAGCTGTGGACATCTCAGCAGAGCCTAGAGCCGTAACTGGAAGAAGACCACTGACCAGATATGTTTAGGTTTAGGCGTTAAAATATTTGTAAAGCCTTCGTACGTGTTCCATGGTAAACGTTCCGCAGAGTTAATTATCACGGTCTAATAATTTTCAGGTAGTTTTGAATAATATCCTTTCTCTTAACTTGCACTCCACTGGTGGAGCATATGTGCTGCTTGTTTTGATAATATATTGTGATGATTTTTTTTAAACATCTTGTTTTATTTGGCTCTCTGTGTACAATTAATTAGGTTTTGTCATTACTGTGAGATTCTTTTCTTTTGTGTGGGTGGTCAGGCAAAACAAGTTCCGATTAACACCTCGAGGATTTGTGGTTTAATCCGTCTTGAGTCGCTGGCGCTCTTAACGGCCCCTATTCTCCGCCTTATTGAGCTAGAGCCTAAATTTGCACGCCACTTGACAACTGTTTTGCATTGACTGACCCTTAGATTTCATCTATAGTGTTTTATTTATTAATTAATCAAGAAGAAATTAAATTTTGGTAATAGATGGCACTTTGTGCTACCTTATTTCGACAGACACTATATTCTGGATAGATAGATAATAGCCCAGCATTCGTGATTTGTTCTATCTGGAACCAAGCCTGGACCCCGCTGACGAGTTGCCAAACAGCAGGAAACATGTGTCCATGGTTTACCGTCTGTGGTCAGACAAACGAAAGCTATGTTACTAGTTAATGGAAGTCAAGGCTCAGCTTAGCTTGAAGATGACCTTAGCAACGCGATGCAACTGGACATTAGTGACTTTCTCCACAACCTGAAAACAGAGCTACCAGTTTAACAGTTACTTTTGGTCAGAACAGAAACGCAGAATAACCAACGTTGAAATCTGGTTGAACTTGAAATGCCAGGGGAATTGGTTTTGTTAAGAGCAGTGTCTAGCTGACAATGTGTTTGAGCAATTCATTAATTAATTTTTTTAAAAAAAGGAAAGAGGAATCACACCACTTATTATCCATTTTTTTGACATTATACAGGGTGTTTCAGTTTATTGTTGCACAACTTTAAGATTCGATAGAACTTTTAAAATTAATCCATAAAGTCTATATAAACATGGGTAGAAAAATGCGTGGCTTCCGAAATACAGGGTGTTTAAATTTACTTTTTAAAATAGTTCTTTTTTTTTAGATATTTCGAACAATATTTGATGTATAACAGTGAAAATTGGTATACAAGGGTTTTTTGGTACGACAAAACGAACCATGGGCATAGTCTTACTGTAGACGCTAGAGGGCGCTCTCTACTCTACCTGTAGTGTATTAAAATGACCGAAAAACTTTTCTTAGTGCAATTTTTTGCTTTTTGAATAAAGAAGCTGATTTTTCGCACTTTTCTGCATAAAAAAGCTCTCCTCTGAGTTTTCGTTATAATTAGCCGTTTTTGAGATATGTATTTCGATTTTTAAGGTTCGACGCATTTTTAATTATTTATGGGAAAATAATATTTTTTTTTACATTTTCGATTTGGGCATTACAAGTAATTAAGATGATCGTTTAGATTGTGTTTTTATACACAGCAATAATTCATAACTCCAAATAAACACAAAAAAAAACAAAATATTAATTTGTTTAACAAATTAAATTAATTATTTACAACTAAAATGCTATTGGATAGTTAGGACAAACATACAAAATTTAAAGTGGTTGCTCGAAATGTAAACCCAATTGTTCAATACACAATTCACATCTACGAATGGTCGAACGTGGTATAGTATTATCCAAATAAGGCCTTATTTCATCACATGCATTCCTGATTCTGTCTATTAGCATATATCTTGTGGTTACGGGAGTCTGGTACACTTTTTCTTTTAGAAATCCCCACACAAAGAAATCTAATGGATTTAGGTCAGGGGATCGTGAAGGCCAGGCGACTGGTCTTCCACGGCCGATCCATCTTTCTGGATAATTTTTGTCCAGCCAGTTTCTAACTATTCTCGAATAATGAGCTGGACAACCATCAAGCTGGAACCAGACCAATCTTCTTAAATCTAACAACATCATCCCACATATTTGCATGTTCAGCCTTTAAAATTCCAAGAAGGTCGCAGCATTTAACCTTGCAGGCAAAAGGTAGGGTCCAAATAGTCGATTACGGTAGATACCAATCCACACGTTCATACTAAGTTCATACTGAAAATTTCTTTCCAAAACTGCATGCGGATTTTCATGCGACCAAATATGTTGATTATGAAAATTTACCACTCCACTTCTAGTGAAGCATGACTCATCGGTCCACAAAACGTTACTTAAAAACTCCCTATTATTATCAGTTCTATCAAGAATCCACTGACAAAATGTGATTCTTCGTTCTCCGTCCCCTGGCTGTAGTCCTTGCACAGGTTGCAAATGGTAAGGACGTATATGGTCATTTCTAAGAACACGGTGAACATGGCTTGCTGAAATTCCCAAGGCACCAGAAACTCTCCTAACACTTGTGGTCGGATCTCTATCAAAGTCACGCAGAATCATACGGGTAAATCTGCGCTGACGAACATTTATGTTTTGATTCCTTTGGAGATTTCCAAAACCATTTTCAATTATTTGGCGATGCACTCTTACAAATACTGAGCAAGTTGGATGTCGTCTGTTTGGTAATCTTCGTGCTTGTGCTGCGTTTCCATTTACAAAGCCATACACAAAATGAATATCCACTAACTCTTGATTGGAGAATAAAAATGGCATTTTTATAAAACTTACAAAAAAAAAACAGGTAAAAGAAACTAAATTTCGTGCATCCACAATGCAAAAAAACGTTTCAGGTTTCAATAGACAACAAAACTAACTGTCAACTAATTGACGTTTAACCTTATTCTGCTTTCAATTTCAAAAATGTTTGCAGGCACAGCCTACTTCTAAAAATTATCGATTTACTGACTTTTTAACGTTATTTTATCATAAATAATTAAAAATGCATCGAACCTTAAAAATCGAAATTTCTCAAAAACGGCTAACTATAACGAAAATTCACAAGAGAGCTTTTTTATGTTGAAAAGTGCGAAGAATCAGTTTTTTATTCAAAAAGCAAAAAATTGCACTAAGAAACTTTTTTCTGTCATTTCAATACACTACAGGTACAGTAGAGAGCGCCCTCTAGCGGCTGCAGTAAAACTATGCCCATGGTTCATTTTGTCGTACCAAAAAACCCTTGTATACCAATTTTCACTGTTATACGTCAAATATTGTTCGAAATATTTAAAAAAAACTATTTTAAAAAGTAAATTTAAACACCCTGTATTTCGGAAGCCACGCATTTTTCGACCCATGGTTATATAGACTTTATGCATTAATTTTAAAAGTTCTATCGAATCTTAAAGTTATGCAACAATAAACTGAAACACCCTGTATAGGTTTTTTTACGTAATATCGGATTACAGCAGCGCTAGGGAACCGAATCGCACTGCTCAGTTGCATGAAGGGATATTCGTTGACCTAAGTCAGAAAACGTTTTAAGGTAGGATGGAATCGCCCTGGAGTGTGGCTTGCCCTTAAAGCATTAATCTAAGCAGCTTAGTTGGCCCATCTCTATCTCGTTTCTGGCGTTGTAAATGACAAGAGAACGTAATCGATTTAACTGTCTCAGCACAAGTGGCCCATTAGGTCGGCTGCCATCGGCACATGCCGCCGGCTACAAACGACAGGCCGTGTTGTGTGTATATACACCAGACGACCAAACTAGAATTAATTACATTTAATTATTAATTTGCCTCGACCTGACTGACAAACACGTTTATATGTTGTATGCGTATCGACAAGGTGGAAGCACAGTTGCTACTATATATGTGTTTGGTCTACCGATGACCACCGGTGGAGCGATGAGGCTCAATGCAGATTAGTATCTTATCGATTCTAATTAGGAACATAAATCATTCTTATATATAAGTTGAGGGTAGTCACTGCCGAGTTAGGAGACACTTGCCTTTGGAGAAAGACTAACTTCATTCTTAAGGCGCATCCCGACTATGTAACAAAACATGTTATCTAGCAAAGTATTTTAACTTGTTAGAGAAATGCAAAAACAAAATTTTATATAACACAGTGTTGTACAACAATTATTGTGTTGTATAGCAGGTTATATGTTATCCATTCGATGTCGGTAAAGATCAAAGAAAGTTGAGGAACTTTGTTATAAAACGCGTCTCGACTCGTCCAAACTGGAAAATGTGTTATTTAAATATCCTCTGGTGTTCGGTATTTAGTTTAACTAAAGCCGTCGACACAGCAAGTTGCATGGTTTTGCAATTAATAAAAGTGAATATATAGTATTTACACTATGACTACTTGGTTTCTGTATCAGAAACTGGAAGGGTTTCTCCAATGTTGATACATTAATGACTATATCCTATATACCAAAATTCTGTCGTGATCCTTGAGGCCATTCAACTAAAGCTTTCAGCTTTTTAGTGGTTGAGAAGTATTAGTTTTCTTAACACCCTGAACACAACAGACAAAATTCCAAATGCATTTTCTAGAACGCGTCTTGCTCTGCTGTATCTGTAATTGTCAATGCGTCCTGGTGAGCCTTTGTCCTGAGTCCCTGGGAAAGGTGTCATAATATGCTGCTGTAAAGGGAATGCCTCATCAGCCAAAAATACAAAAGGTGTGGGTGACGATCTTCCGGGTAAAACTTCCATTGGCGGTAGATTCAAACATGACGTTTCGAGTAATTGTTTAAAGGTCGTGTTCGCGAATACACCGCCATCAGACAAACGCCCTTGGCATCCCTCACTCAGTATGCTAAAAAATCCTTTATAATTGAAGTAGTCACTGCCAGTGTTTATTGAAGCTTGTAATCATATATGTTTTAAATCGATACTCCCACAACAATGGGGATAATTCCACATCCTGTCGATATCATTTGCAACTTGTGGCCATTCCTCCTGACGTTTAGGCACCTGAAAAACAATGTGCTTTATTATTATATTCATTTCAATAAAATTTTGTTTTATGTGAATATTGTATAATAGAAATGAGGTTTTAATTTTATCTTTTAGGATGATGAACAGTCACAATTACAATCAGGAAAAAAATGAGAAAAAAAAAGGGATGAAAAGAAAAATGGATACGAGATCTGATAAAGCTTACGCGGTGATGAAACACCTGTCAAGCAACATAAAAAAGCGCGATGACTTCGATGTTTATGGGGAATATGTAGCGAACACATTACGCAATCTTCAAAACAAATCAATTGTGGCCTCTACGAAATTTCAAATTAATAACATTCTCTATCGATCAGAAAACGCAGACATGACAGAAAATACACCTGGGCCATCCACATCGTCCACCACACCCACATGGTCTGCTCCATCTACACCCTGCCCTACTTCATTTTCAATCGACAATCAGTCATGTACTGAAGATACTAATGAGGAAGACATGACTTTTAGCCAACTATTAATGAAATTATAAATGCTTTTTAAGGATTTCATTAAATCTGATTAAATAAAAATAAAAAAAAATCATACCTACTTTTATTTTGTCACTCAAACAGGCAATGAGCGCGTCACAAACTTCTGGCACAACCACAGATATACTTTGAGTCGAAAATTGGAATATATAACTCAAACTTCGGTAAGAATCTCCGTTTTCCAAAAATCTGAGTGCAAGGCCAACCTTTCTCGTACAGGAATTGGATCTCTAAATGGTGTCGTCTTTTTGCCTATTTCATGGCCTATTTGATTTATCAAGTATTCAAAATCAGCACTTTTCATTCTGGCGAAATTTTAAAAGTACCGTCACATCGAACTTCTCCAGTTAATGGATCTACGTCATCTCTTGCAAGGTCTGCTAAGAGGGCCGTACCACTATATTTCGTTCGCTCTTTTAATGACGGTCCTACCCAGAATCTTCGCTTGAATTCACGTTTTTTACACAAAATAATGCAAGCTGCTGCCGCCATTATAACATCCTCTACCGTTGATGCCATTTTCGATACTGATCTGCAAAAACTTGTGAAGTTTGTTTATAACATTTTGTTATATGGTCTCGATGCGCCTTCGAAATAACAAAAGTTAAATGACATGTTACACAACAAAGTTGATAACAAATTTGTTTCACAACATTGCTGTGCAACGTGTTTTGTTACATAGTCTGGATCCGCCTTTAGAATAAATCAGCCCCAACTTTTACTGAGCTATATCATCCAAAATCCTTAAAAATAAAAGCCCTAGGTCTCCACCTGATTTTCTGAAGACAGTTTTCCATCTGTTAAATTTTGAGAGAAAGTTATTTTTATTTGTTTGTAATTGAACAATTACTTAGAGCAGGAGTTCCCAAACAGGGGGGCGCACCTACCAAGGGGACATAGAGAGATGTCAAGAGGGGTGGAAAGCGTTTGCATTTTAGAAATAAAAACAAACTTGCGAAAAATTTGACGTTTCGATGTACATGTTTTTTGAGAAATCTGTTTGAGTGTTTCAAATTATTGTGTCTCACTGTTAAAAGGTAAATTTGTGTATTTGCAACCTGCAGTTACCATTTTTGTTTAATTTACTAAATTGTTGATTGAGTGGAGACGCGTTCATAGATCGGCCATTGGGACTTTTTTACCACATCACAATCAAACCAATGTGGCGAAATAATTTTGAAACGACGAACTTTAAGTATCCAATATTAATTCCAAATGTATACCTGGATTTACCTTCATAGAAAAAGATGAGTTACAATTGCCTCAGTGTGTGATATGTATGAAAGTTTTTAGTAATGACATCATGAGGTCCAATCGCCTTGAGAGGCATTTGAAGCAACAACATCCTACGCTGGATGTGACTGGATAAATCGGGAATTTATCACACAAGTGTATCGCAGCATCTCCAAGCTTCATTTGAAATAGCTTTTATGACAGCAAAGCAAAGACCTCATACTATCGATGAAGAATTAATAAAACCATGTATCCTAAAAGCCACGCAGATAATTTTAGGAGAAGATGCAGAGCAAAAAATGAAGTTTATTTCTCTTTCGAATAACTCAGTCAAGCGTAGAATCGATGACATTGCGGCACACAAATTCACAAATAATTACCAAAGTAAAATTATCGCCATTTTTTGCCATTAGTTGCGATGAATCCACCGACGTCGTTCAATTGTGCACAGTGGATGGTTTATGTTCGTTACATCGGCGGAGATATTCAAGAAGAGATTTTGTACTCCCAATCTTTGACAGCAGGTACTACATCTGAAGATATATTTAATTCAATATCAAATTTAAAAAAAATGGAAGAAACTCATTGGACTTTGCACAGATAGCGCACCTGCAATGATAGGTGTACGATCGGGCTTAGCTAAAAAGCTCAAGGAAAAAAATCCCGCAATGGATAGTACACATTGTGTTATTCATCGGCAAGTTTTGGCTTCCAAAATATTGCCATAGAAACTACGCCAGACTATGGACTCGGCTATAAGTATTGTAAACTACATCAAGAGCAGCGCTTTGAATAGTCGGTTATTTACTTTACTTTGCGAGGATCTCGATTCTGATCACAAAGTTCTTCTGTTCCATACAGAAGTACGCCAAAGGCAACAAGTTGACTCGTCTTTATGAATTGCAAGAAGAGGTAATTCTTTTTCTTGAGTTCAAAGAAAAACAGTATTTCTTGACAATGTTCAAAGATGACACATTTCAATGGAGGTTGGCTTATTTAAATGACACATTTGACTCCTTTGTAACGGTTTCACTGTCCGATTGTATTTATTAAATCACTTCTCGATTATCATTTCAGAATCGCAATTCATTAATCCCATCTCTAGCTTTTTTACTTGGAAAATTTTCCGCATGGAGCCCGCTTGATGAGGAGTTCCTGATTTGCGATCTTCCTCGCGCTTCCTTTTCACTTGGGCCGCCGATCGAACAAGAGCTAAGAATTTTCTTCTCTGTAGCACAAGGTCATATAGCACCATGTGCTAGAATTTTGTAGAATGTGTGTCCGTATAGGACAAAATGATTGGGGCCACCCCCTTCCTCTTTCCCTTTCCTTTTGCCTTAGTCTTTGACTTTGCGTTGCTTGGCCTATCACTTCACCCATGCATGTGCCTTGGCAGCGCCATCGCCTTTAAGTTCAACTTCGCCTACAACTGGTTATGAAGCCACTATATGTGAGGTCACCCCTCATAACTGGGACCTCCACTTCAAGCACCTGGCCATCCCCGCTTCAGTCCGTTCAAAAATGGACCAGCGAAAGATAAGTTGTTAGTTTTATAGCAGCGCCAAAGATGTAAAACTTATTTTGTTCTTTAAAACTGTAAAATTGTAATGTAATGAAAATGCTTTTTTTTTTTTGTTAAATAAAATCTGTTAAATTTTTGTGTTCTGTTTGTTCTTCTATCCTCTAGCCATGCCATGGTCGACACACAGCTACACGCCTGTGGATGTCTTCATGCCACCGACTGAGCTACCGGAAGCTAATGCTAACCCCCTTTCTGTGATTGTGCAGAAAAGTTGGAATCTTCATTGCATTCCATCTTTTCTGGACATTTTGCGGAAAGGAAGCGTTACATAAATTGCCGCTCAATCGAAGGGGGTGAGTTTTTCGATCTGTACATTGGAGCGAGTAGGTTTTCCTATGTTAATTTCCAAGTACAGATGCGAACGGACAAGAATTTCCTTTGATAATTGTTAAGCTAATTTTCTGTAAAAGGCAGTTGAATGTTTACTTTGGACATTTAACATCGTTGATCCTTCAACCTTTTGAAATATTACAATTTGTCCAATACTCATATTTCCGCTCAATCGAAGGGGGCGAGTTTTTCGATCTGTACATTGGAGCGAGTAGGTTTTCCTATATTCATTTCCTAGTACAGATGCGAACGGATAAGAATTTCCTTTGATAATTGTTAAGCTAATTTCCTGTAAAAGGCAGGTGAATGTTTACTTTGGACATTAGTCATCGTTGTTCTTTCAACCTTTTGAACGATTACGTCAGACCACCATGTACAGAATTTACAAGTCATGATTATTTTTCTGATTCCAATTTAATGTGTATACTTCATCTTTTGAATATTTCATTTTTCTGAGTGTACTCAAAATTTAAATTGCATTCCCGATCTAAATCATGTGACAAATACTGTGTATAATATTTTATAATGTTTTTATGCATATATTTTCTGAATTTCCTTTACATACTTACGTACTTCTATTTTTGAAGTCTATTGATGGTATCCTCTTTTTGAATTCATTATAACTTTCTTCGAGAGCACAGACTTACATTGATTTTTGGTTCAAACTTTTGATGTTTGTTTACATACTATCGAATATAGCCAAAATTTTCGAAAAATTACTACAAAAAAGGATATTGCAATTTTTGGACAAAAACAAAGTTATATGTTCTGACCAATATGGATTTAGAAAAGGAAAATCTACTACATATGCAATTTTGGCTGCAATGGATGAAATTAACTCTAATGTCAACAAAAAGATACCTACTATTGGTATCTTTGTTGATCTAAAAAATGCCTTTGATACGGTTAACCATGTCGAGCTTCTGAAAGTTATGGAAAGATTGGGATTTAGGGTAGCGTCACAAATCCTTTTAAAAAATTACCTTTCAAGTCGAGCACAGACTGTCGAAATCACTAACACTTACAGTAAAAAAATGTACATCAAGTGTGGTGTGCCTCAAGGAGCAGTACTAGGCCCACTATTATTTAGTCTCTACTTAAATGACTTATTCAAAATTAACAGTTCTGGAAAGATTATATGTTTTGCAGATGACACCCTCGTATTATATAAAGCTGATGACTGGAGCACACTGAAGCAAATAGCTGAAAAGGATTTTATAAGGATCATTGACTGGTTTGATACTAAAATTTTAACAGTTAACTTCAAAAAAACAAAATTTATTGCATTTACATCCTATTCAAACTTTTTACCTACCTTCGAACAAATTTCCGTTAATTATCATGGCCAAAAGACCAAAATCGATAGAGTTAACACTTTGAAATATCTTAGAATATTTATAGACTCACATCTAAGGTGGGATAACCATATTAAATATGTTATCAAAAAAATTAGAAATGTTGCCTATAAACTCAAAATGCTTGCTAACATTCTTACAGAAAGTTATCTGCGAATCCTATACCATGCCTTAGTTGAAACCCATATAATATACGGCATCACAGCCTGGGGTGCCGCCTGCAAGACATATATTTCTGACCTGAATATAGTACAAAAAACCGTTTTGAAAGCCATTTTCCATAAGCCAAGATTATATCCAACGAACAACTTATATCAAGAAACAGGGATACTTGATACAAGACAACTTTATTTCTTACATGCCACCACCTTATACCATAAGTATTGTAATAAAAAGAAAAAATCCTATAAGCACGAGCATAACACACGATTTCGAATAGGCTCATCTAATATCCAAAGACCACACAAAACATTATTCAAAAAATCATTTAAATTCTTAGCGGCTAAATTATATAATGTAGTACCAAGCGAAATAAAGATACTTAATTTTGGAAAAAAATTTAGAAGAAAATTGAAAGACTGGATTAGTAATGTGCAGCGAATGACTATACATAATTATATAGAAAACTAAAAGTACAAAATTCCAATTACATTAATACCTTTTAGATTTAACAACAATTGTTATACACATATATGATTGATTGTTAGTTATTAAGATATAAACCACACACAGGCGATGCCTTCTGTGGTTTTTTCATATTTATTTGCCCATTTTTTGTATTTTGGCGAATAAATATTATTATTA